ACCACAGACTCAACACTGCTACACCATAGACTCAGCACTGCTACACCACAGACTCAACACTGCTACACCATAGACTCAGCACTGCTACACCATAGACTCAGCACTGCTACACCATAGACTCAGCACTGCTACACCACAGACTCCACACTGCACCATAGACTCAGCACTGCTACACCATAGACTCAGCACTGCTCCACCACAGACTCAGCACTGCTACACCATAGACTCAACACTGCTACACCATAGACTCAACACTGCTACACCATAGACTCAGTACTGCTACACCATAGACTCAGCACTGCTACACCATAGACTCAGCACTGCTACACCATAGACTCAGCACTGCTACACCACAGACTCAACACTGCTACACCACAGACTCAACACTGCACCATAGACTCAGCACTGCACCATAGACTCAACACTGCTATACCATAGACTCAGCACTGCTACACCATAGACTCAACACTGCACCATAGACTCAGCACTGCACCATAGACTCAGCGCTACACAATAGACTCAACACTGCACCATAGACTCAACACTGCACCATAGACTCAGCACTGCCCATAGACTCAACACTGCACCATAGTCTCAACACTGCACCATAGACTCAACACTGAACCATAGACTCAGCACTGCACCATAGACTCAACACTGCACCATAGACTCAACACAGCACCATAGACTCAGCACTGCCCCATAGACTAACACTACTCATAGACTCAACACTACCCACAGACTCAACACTACCCATAGACTAAACACTGCACCATAGATTCAACACTGCACCATAGACTCAACACTGCACCATAGACTCAACACTACACCATATACTCAACACTGCTACACCATAGACTCAACACTGCTACACCACAGACTCAGCACTGCTACACCATAGACTCAGCACTGCTACACCACAGACTCAGCACTGCTACACCATAGACTCAACACTGCTACACCACAGACTCAGCACTGCTACAGCACAGACTCAACACTGCTACACCATAGACTCAGCACTGCTACACCACAGACTCAACACTGCTACACCATAGACTCAGCACTGCTACACCATAGACTCAGTACTGCTACACCATAGACTCAGCACTGCTACACCATAGACTCAGCACTGCTACACCATAGACTCAGCACTGCTACACCACAGACTCAACACTGCTACACCACAGACTCAACACTGCACCATAGACTCAGCACTGCACCATAGACTCAACACTGCTATACCATAGACTCAGCACTGCTACACCATAGACTCAACACTGCACCATAGACTCAGCACTGCACCATAGACTCAGCGCTACACAATAGACTCAACACTGCACCATAGACTCAACACTGCACCATAGACTCAGCACTGCCCATAGACTCAACACTGCACCATAGTCTCAACACTGCACCATAGACTCAACACTGAACCATAGACTCAGCACTGCACCATAGACTCAACACTGCACCATAGACTCAACACAGCACCATAGACTCAGCACTGCCCCATAGACTAACACTACTCATAGACTCAACACTACCCACAGACTCAACACTACCCATAGACTAAACACTGCACCATAGACTCAGCACTGCACCATAGATTCAACACTGCACCATAGACTCAACACTGCACCATAGACTCAACACTACACCATATACTCAACACTGCTACACCATAGACTCAACACTGCTACACCACAGACTCAGCACTGCTACACCATAGACTCAGCACTGCTACACCACAGACTCAGCACTGCTACACCATAGACTCAACACTGCTACACCACAGACTCAGCACTGCTACAGCACAGACTCAACACTGCTACACCATAGACTCAGCACTGCTACACCACAGACTCAACACTGCTACACCATAGACTCAGCACTGCTACACCATAGACTCAACACTGCTACACCATAGACTCAGCACTGCTACACCACAGACTCAACACTGCTACACCATAGACTCAGCACTGCTACACCACAGACTCAACACTGCTACACCATAGACTCAGCACTGCTACACCACAGACTCAACACTGCTACACCATAGACTCAGCACTGCTACACCATAGACTCAGCACTGCTACACCATAGACTCAGCACTGCTACACCACAGACTCCACACTGCACCATAGACTCAGCACTGCTACACCATAGACTCAGCACTGCTACACCACAGACTCAGCACTGCTACACCATAGACTCAACACTGCTACACCATAGACTCAACACTGCTACACCATAGACTCAGTACTGCTACACCATAGACTCAGCACTGCTACACCATAGACTCAGCACTGCTACACCATAGACTCAGCACTGCTACACCACAGACTCAACACTGCTACACCACAGACTCAACACTGCACCATAGACTCAGCACTGCACCATAGACTCAACACTGCTATACCATAGACTCAGCACTGCTACACCATAGACTCAGCACTGCACCATAGACTCAGCACTGCACCATAGACTCAACACTGCTATACCATAGACTCAGCACTGCTACACCATAGACTCAGCACTGCACCATAGACTCAGCACTGCACCATAGACTCAACACTGCTACACCATAGACTCAGCACTGCACCATAGACTCAGCGCTACACAATAGACTCAACACTGCACCATAGACTCAGCACTGCACAATAGACTCAACACTGCACCATAGACTCAACACTGCACCATAGACTCAGCACTGCCCATAGACTCAATACTGCACCATAGTCTCAACACTGCACCATAGACTCAACACTGAACCATAGACTCAGCACTGCACCATAGACTCAACACTGCACCATAGACTCAACACAGCACCATAGACTCAGCACTGCCCCATAGACTAACACTACTCATAGACTCAACACTACCCACAGACTCAACACTACCCATAGACTAAACACTGCACCATAGACTCAGCACTGCACCATAGATTCAACACTGCACCATAGACTCAACACTGCACCATAGACTCAACACTACACCATATACTCAGCACTGCTACACCATAGACTCAGCACTGCTACACCATAGACTCAGCACTGATACACCACAGACTCCACATTGCACCATAGACTCAGCACTGCTACACCATAGACTCAGCACTGCTACACCACAGACTCAGCACTGCTACAGCATAGACTCAACACTGCTACACCATAGACTCAACACTGCTACACCATAGACTCAGTATGCTACACCATAGACTCAGCACTGCTACACCATAGACTCAGCACTGCTACACCATAGACTCAGCACTGCTACACTACAGACTCCACACTGCACCATAGACTCAGCACTGCTACACCATAGACTCAGCACTGCTACACCACAGACTCAGCACTGCTACACCATAGACTCAACACTGCTACACCATAGACTCAACACTGCTACACCATAGACTCAGTACTGCTACACCATAGACTCAGCACTGCTACACCATAGACTCAGCACTGCTACACCATAGACTCAGCACTGCTACACCACAGACTCAACACTGCTACACCACAGACTCAACACTGCACCATAGACTCAGCACTGCACCATAGACTCAACACTGCTATACCATAGACTCAGCACTGCTACACCATAGACTCAGCACTGCACCATAGACTCAGCACTGCACCATAGACTCAACACTGCTACACCATAGACTCAGCACTGCTATACCATAGACTCAGCACAGCTACACCATAGACTCAACACTGCACCATAGACTCAGCACTGCACCATAGACTCAGCGCTACACAATAGACTCAACACTGCACCATAGACTCAGCACTGCACAATAGACTCAACACTGCACCATAGACTCAACACTGCACCATAGACTCAGCACTGCCCATAGACTCAACACTGCACCATAGTCTCAACACTGCACCATAGACTCAACACTGAACCATAGACTCAGCACTGCACCATAGACTCAACACTGCACCATAGACTCAACACAGCACCATAGACTCAGCACTGCCCCATAGACTAACACTACTCATAGACTCAACACTACCCACAGACTCAACACTACCCATAGACTAAACACTGCACCATAGACTCAGCACTGCACCATAGATTCAACACTGCACCATAGACTCAACACTGCACCATAGACTCAACACTACACCATATACTCAACACTACTACACCATAGACTCAGCACTGCACCATAGACTGAGCACTGCAACATAGACTCAGCACTGCACCATAGACTCAGCACCGCATCATAGACTCAACACTGCACCATAGACTGAACACTGCACCATAGACTCAACATTGCCACCCATAGACTCAACACTGCACCATAGACTCAACACTGCACCATAGACTCAACACTGCATCATAGACTCAACACTGCATCATAGACTCAACACTGCCCATAGACTCAACACTGCACCATAGACTCAACATTGCCACCCATAGACTCAACACTGCACCATAGACTCAACACTGCACCATTGACTCAACACTGCACCATAGACTCAACACTGCCCATCGACTCAACACTACCCATAGACTCAACACTACCCATAGACTCAACACTGCCCCATAGACTCAACACTATCCATAGACTCAACACTACCCATAAACTCAACACTACTCATAGACTCCACACTACCCATAGACTCAACACTACCCATAGACTCAACACTGCCCCATAGACTCAACACTATCCATAGACTCAACACTCCCCATAGACTCAACACTACTCATAGACTCCACACTATCCATAGACTCAACACTACCCATAAACTCAACACTACTCATAGACTCCACACTACCCATAGACTCAACACTACCCATAGACTCAACACTACCCATAGACTCAACACTACCCATAGACTCAACACTGCACCATAGACTAAACATTGCCACCCATAGACTCAGCACTGCCCCATAGACTCGACACTCCACCATAGACTGAACAGCTCAGTGGGGCCTTACCACCTGGGATCAAACCCGCGGGATGAGTGCGCGCACGACTCTCCGAGTGTCGTGTGCCCAGGGTTCGAGCGAGCGAGCGCGTGGGTGGGTGAGGCTCCTCCGGCCTCGAGACTCCGGCCTCACGGAGCGACGGAGGCTCTAGGAGGAGATCATCCCGGCCGTGAGATGTCGCGTCGTAGAGGGGCCGACGAGCCGCGGGGACACCCTGCTGCCGCTACCGGTGAGTAGTCCTCGAGGTGCACCTAGCCTGGCACTAGCGGCCGTGGTGGTGGTGGTGACGGTCCCCGCTAGCGAGCGGCGGTTGTTGCTGGATACTGTCTCTGCGTTTGCTTGCTTCACGCCGCAATTTCACGGAGAGTGGTAGCAGGAGCAGCAGCAGGAGTAGTAGCAGCAGCGTCAGCAGCATCAGCAACTAGCAGCAGTAGTTGCAGCAGCAGCATCAGCAGCATCAGCAGCTAGCAGCAGTAGTTGCAGCAGCAGCAGCATCAGCAGCATCAGCAGCAGCAGCATCAACAGCAGCAATAGCAACAGTGGCGGCAGCATCGTCTTGAGCCTCTTGCACCGCTGGGTTTCCGCTCGGGACAGAAGGCGTGGAGGTGGAGTCCCCTTCTCTGCCCATGGAGCCGCTGGTGAAGCGAGAGGAGGAGGAGCCGGGCGGTGAGATGTGGCCGCCCGTGAAGGCGGAGAGAGAAGACGCCGGTGGTGAGTGGCGGCGGTCCTTGGTGGTGACAGCGGTGGTGAGTCCGGCGAAATGACCCTCGACCTCCTCGGTGGTGCCGGATGGTGACGCTGCGGTGAACGATGCCATGGGGGGAGGGCCGATTTCCATTCGGCTGCACCCCTCATGGCATTCATAGCCACCACAGTGGCCGATGTGGGCTCTGGATAGGCTCGAGAGGCTGGTAACCCCTCCGCCTTCAATTCAATGACCACTGAACTATGTGGGGAAAAAAAAAAATTGAACGAAGCTTGTGCATGGAGGCTGCGGGGGCACAGGTGTCTGTGGCGTCTCCTGGCCAAACCCCATTTGGCGGAGCCAGGAGACTGAATCCCGACACCCTCAGGGTGCCTTTGGAAATGGCAGAAAGCCACTGCGGGTGGCCACGTGGAAAATTTGAATGCTCACCGTGGAGGAGAGGCTGCCACTCCTCTGTCGGGAGCTGGACTTGTACCACCCTGGATCTCTGCGGTATATAGGAGGCCCGGTAGACCGGCTCTGGCTCCTGCCACCATGAGGGGTGGACAGTCCTCTTCTCGGGGCAGGCGACTGCCGAACAACAGGGAATGGCTCTTCTTCTGAACAAAATAATGAAGGGGGTGTGGGAGTGTGGAGGTGAGGTGTGGGAAGCTGTAAACCCCAGGTTACTTTGGGCTCGCCTTCCCATCAAACGGAGGCGAGGAGTGGTGGTCGTGGTTACTTATGCCCCCTATAAAGATGAACATCAGTGGAGGAATGCAGGCAAGGCCGATGAGTCAGATGCCTTCTATGACCTCCTGTCACAGGTGCTAGCTAAAGTGGCCCCTCGGGATAGTCATCCTGTTGGGCAACTTTAATGCCCGAGTGGGTCGTGATGCTGGCACCTTGGCTGGAGTGATAGGAAGGCATGGGCCATGTAAGTTAAATAACAACAGTAGGAGGCTGCTAGACTTTTGTCCAGCCCATGGGCACGTAATTGCCAACATGATGTTCTGGTATTGGCGTATCCACACAACATCATGGATGCACACCGGGTCCAAGCAAGAACATCTGCTGGACTATATACCGATGGAACAGCGGATGCAAGTCCATGTCCTTGATGCCAGGACCTACCGTGGAGCTGATCTGCCCACTGTCCATCGGCTTGTCATCTCTGAAATTCACCGGCTATTCTTCCACTCAGGTGGTCGGTGTCCATCTAGGATCCCATTCAAACCTACAGTGGCCTGGTCTCTGTTTAGGCATGTGGTGGCTGGGCATGCAGGCTATGTGACCCAGCCAACACAGCCTTGCCTGCCAGAGGAGCTCACCAATGGGACTTTGTCCAGATCTTTCAAGGATTTTTGAGCTCCTCACACAATCCAGCCTGGTTAAACCCAGGATGGATCGTAGGTAAGCCAGCCTAAATGTTTCTAACCGGCGAAAATTTTTCATTAGGGAGGTCCACGTTTCGCAAGCGTAGAGAAGGGAGGGCATGACTGTGGCCGAGAAGACCTGAAGTTTCGTGTGGAGCGACAGACCACGTAGCTTCCACGCGGCGTTACGCAACCAATGAAAAGATAATGCCGCTCAACTCATTTGGAGTGAGACCTCTGCTGTCAAACCGGAGCCGGTCATGAGCACACTGCCCAGGTATAGGCAACTCAGGCAGGTGCTTAGTTTTGGTGCGGCTGATGGTAAGGCCCCACCTCTTAGTGGCACGCTCCAGGTTCAGCAGCAGCACCTTCAACTCCTCCTCTGAATGAGCAGCAATTACCAAATCATCGGTATACATAACGTGGTTGACCAATATGGAGCCATCCCTTGACCGCACCCAGGCATCGATCAGCCTCCCATTGTATCTGTACCAGATGGAAATTCCTCTGGTACAGCTATCAAAGGCTTCACCAACTACGTGGTCGAAAAATATGTTAAATAATGTGGGAGCCACAGGACATCCCTGTCGTACCCCAAGGTGAACAGGGAATGGCTCCGACTCCCGGCCACGTAGTTTTACCCGGGCCCGCTCACCATCATGAAGGTCCTTAATGATCGTGAGCAGAGGGTCAGGGACTCCGAAAGTACGAAGAACAACCCACAGCTCAGGCCTACTGATGGTATCATAGGCCTTGACCAGGTCAATAAAGCAGAGATGTGGGTCTTGTTGGAATTCCCTACACCTCTGCTGTAGCAAACGGACGCAAAATATGGCATCTGTGCAGGACCGCCCTTTCCTGAAACCACATTGGGGCTCTGCAAGCCTCTCCTCAGAGCATGCCTGACAAGGCGATGTTGAATAATACTCTTGTCAGGACCTTTTCCGGCACATTGAGGAGTGAGATGCCCCTGTGGTTGTTACAGTCTGTGCGGTCCACCTTCTTAAAGAGGGGGACCACAAGGGCATCTTTCCAATCCTGTGGAACCCGTCCAGTGTTCCAGACTGTTGTTATGATGTCATGTAGGGCAGTCTGTGCATAAACGCCACCCTCCCTCAGCATTTCGCTTGGGAGATCGTCTCTACCCGGTGCCTTTCCTGGTCTCAGACTTTGGATTGCGTTTAGTACTTCCTCAACAGATAGCACCTCATCCAGCCACTCACAGGGGGTGACTTCTTCCTCCGATATTTGAGGCACCGCAGCCTCAGCAGGGTTATCCCCACTTTATCCCACGATGTTTTCCATGTCGAGGGATTTCACCTCTCCCAGGACTTCACAGAAATGCTCAGAAAATCTGCAAACCTGTTCCTGCGGGTCGGAGATTGGATCACCGTTTTTTTCTCTAATGATGGTCATAGGTGTGGCACTGCAGGTCACTTTTTTGATGGAGTTAAACAAGGATTTGTGATCGCGGGCCATTGAGGCAGACTCCATCTCCTCAGCAACCCGCGACCACCACCCATCCTTGCAGCGCCCCACGGCTCTCCGAACCTCCGAGTGAAGACTGCGGTAAGCCTCCTCATTTTCTGACGTGGGATGCTGTAGATGATTAGAGTGGGCCTATCGCTTTTTCTTAGCCATCCTGAACAGCTCCTCTGTCAGCCAGGGTCTCATGGGGAGGTCTGGACCGCATACCGAAAGCAGCCATTGCAGCTGCATGAGTCACAGTCCTAAACCTCGCCCATTTACCCTCGACATCTGGAGGAGTGGGGAACGATGCCAACCCCAGCCGCAAGCGATGATGAAATTCTCGCTTGCAACTTTCATCAGCTAGCTGAGACCAGGCCACCTTAGGTGTGAATGGGGTCCTGGGTGTACACCCACCACCAGAGTAGAAAAATGGCAGGTGCATCTTACAGATGACAAGTCGATGGTCAGAGGGCAGATCAGCTCCCCGGTAGGTCCTGGTGTCAAGGACATGGGCTCGCATCCGCTGGTCCGTCACTATGTAGTCCAGCAGATGTTCTTGCTTGGACCCGGCATGCATCCATGATGTTGTGTGGATGCACCGATGCCGGAACAGCGTGTTGGTAATTACAAGCCCATGGGCTGCACAAAAATCTAGCAGCCTCCTACCGTTGTTATTGAGCTGATCTGGCCCATGCTTTCCAATCACTCCAGATCAGGTGCCAGCATCATGACCAACTCGGGCATTGAAGTCACCCAACAAGATGATTCTATCCCGAGGGGCCACTTTAACTAGCACCTGTGACAGGAGGTCATAGAAGGCATCTTACTCATTGGCCTTGCCTGCATCCCTCGACGGATGTTCGTCTTCTGTGGGGGCATAAGTAACCACGACCACCACTCCTCGCCTCCGGTTGATGGGAAGGCGAGCCCAAAGTAGCCTGGGGTTTACAGCTTCCCACACCTCACCGCCTCGCTCCCACGCCCCCTTCATTCTTTTGTTCAGAAGAAGAGCCACTCCCTGTTGTTTGGTATTCTCCTGCCCCGAGTAGAGGACTGTCCACCCCTCATGGTGGCAGGAGCCAGAGCCGGTCCACCGGACCTCCTGAATACCACAGAGATCCAGGCAGTACCATTCCAGCTCCCGACAGAGGAGTGGTAGCATCTCCTCCGCAGTGAGCGTTCGAACATTCCACGTGGCCATCCGTAGTGGCTTTTTGTTGTTCCTTGAGGAGCCCCGAGGGTAAAGATTGAATCTCCTGGCTCCGCCAAATGGGGGTTGGCCAGGAGACGTCATAGATGTCTGTCCCTCCAGGGCCTCCGGCACAAGCTTATTAGATATTTTTCACGTGGTTTTGTGGTAATTTATTGAAGGTGGAGGGGTTACCAGCCCCCCGCACACGTCCAGAGCCCCCATTTAGCCGCTGTGGTGGTTACAAACGCCTTGAGGGGAAAGGCCAATCGGAATTGGCCCTCCCCCCCCCACAGCACTCTCCACGACAATGTTGCCCGTCCGGAACCACGAGGTGGTGGGGGGTTGTTTTTGCCGGACACGCACACAGACACACACACACATATACACACAAACACACACAAACATACACACACAGACACACACCCACATAGAAACACGGACCAATACAGACACACACATACATACACACATAAATAGACACAGACATACACACACACACACAGAAACAGAGACCAACACAGACACACACAGACAAACAGACACACACAATCACCCAGACACACACAGAATCAAACACTAAACCATCCCCCATCCAACCAGAAAAATCCCCCATCTGAGGGCATCAACTGATTATTCCAGAAGCCACTCGGCCATCGTGAAGGCCATCGCAAACACAGGTGGCCGATATCACGTGGACATTTTACATTGGCGGAAATAATCTCAAATTTTCTCAAATAATCTCTCTGAAATAATCTCAAATAATCTCTCAAATGATCTCTCTCAAATAATCTCTCAAATGATCTCAAATAATCTCCAGTAATCTCTCTCAAATTATCTCAAGTAATTTCTCAAATAATTTTAAATAGTTTCTCTCAAATAATTTATCTCAAATTATCTCAAATAATCTTTCCAATGATCTCTCTCAAATAATCTCTGAAATAGTCTCAAATAATCTCTTTCAACTAATATCTCTCAAATTATCTCAAATAGTCTCCAATTATCTCTCTCAAATAATCTCTCAAATTCTCTCGAATCATCTCAAATAACCCCTCTCAATCTCTAACATGCGGCACCTCCCAATAGGCCCCCAGGCCTCTCCTTCTGCCTCCCCTTCCCCAGACCACAGGGAGCCCCTCCGCATTATCAAGGTCAAGCCGGAGGAGCTCGAAGTGCGAGGATGGGGCACCGCCGACCCCGCCGACCCCGCCGACCCCAACGGGTGGGGCCCTGACGCCCGTGGCCACGCCGCCGCCGGGTGGGGCCCTGACGCCCGTGGCCACGCCCCCGCCGTGACGCGCCACCGGGAGGAGACGCGGCGACCGCGCGGAGGCCGGGCGGGAGATGTGGCGGAGATCGAGGTCGAGGTGGAGGAGGAGGAGCGAGGTGGGCACCGTGGCTAGAGAGATGTTGACTACCTCGCCTGGTGTGCAGGAGGGCGTGGGTTCGATCCCGACCCTGACCATGCCTGCTGCTGTCTATTTGGAGTCTGCATCTCTCTGACACTATACACTACACTACACACTACACTATACACTACACTATACACTACACTACACTATACACTACACTAGACACTACACTACTATACACTACACTATACACTACACTACACACTACTATACACTATACACTACACACTACACTACTACACACTACTATACACTACACACTAAACTACACTACTATACACTACACTACACACTACACTATACACTACACTGCACTATACACTACACACTACACTACACACTACACTATACACTACACTACTATACACTACACTACACACTACACTATACACTACACTACACACTACTATACACTACACTACTATACACTACACTACTATACACTATAAGCTACACACTAAACTACACACTAAACTATACACTACACTACTATACACTACACTATACACTATACTACACACTACACTACACTACACACTACACTACTACACGATACTTTGCAACCCTCGCAGGGCGGCCGCGTCCCCCCAGGCCTCGGGCCAAGCGAGTCTTCCTCAGCCTCGGGCAGAAGATGGAGGTGCTGCGGGCGATGGCGTCTCCGGGCGGACGGCCGCTCCAGAGCATCGCCGCCGACTTCAACGTCGGCTACACCACGGTGCGGGACATCCGCGACAGCGCGCCCAAGATCGCGAGGCTCTTCGGCGAGCTGCAGGGCACCGGGGCGGCGAGGCGCCGTGTGGCCGGCGGCCGCGGCGCCGCCGCCCCGAGCGAGGCCGTCGACCGCGAGCTGCACGCCTGGCTCCTCGAGCGGCTCGCCAGGGGGCACCCCGTCAGCGGCCCCATGCTGTGCCACAAGGCCAGGGCCCTGCACCAGAGGCTCCGGGCCGCCGCCGCTGTTGTCGCTGGGGGAGGGGGCGGTGGAGGAGGTGGAGGAGGAGGGGAGGAGGAGGAGGAGGGGGAGGAGGAGCGTCCGAAGAGCCTTTCGTGGCCAACCAGGGGTGGCTGCGCTCCTTCAAGGAGCGCCACGGCGTCCGCCGGCTCTCGGCGGCCGCCGGCGACGGGGCGCCCGGCGCCGACGCGGAGGCCGCCGGGGCCTACGCGGCGCGCTTCCGGGCCCTGGTGGAGGCCCGGGGCCTGGGCCCGTCGCAGGTGTACGACGCGGACGAGACGGGCCTCCTGTGGAAGGCGCCGCCCCCCAAGGTCCTCGCCCGCCGGGGCAGCGGCGCCGGTGGGCGCAAGGGGCGCCTCGCCCTCCTGGCCTGCGCGAACGCTTCGGGCACGCACCGCCTGAGGCTCGCCTGCGTGGGCGAGTCGCGGCGGCCGCGGGCCCCGAGGGACGCGGCCGCGGCCCCCCCGCCGCCCGTCCGCTACTACGGGCGGCGGGGGGCGCGGCTGGACGGCGCCACGCTCGGCCGCTGGTTCTTCGGCCGCTTCGTGCCCGAGGTCCGCCGGCGACTCCGCCGTCGGGGCCTCCCCGAGCGCGCCCTCCTCCTCCTCCTCGACGACGGCCGGGCCGGGCGGGCCCCGCTGCGCACCGCCGACGGGGCCTTCGCCGCCGAGCTCCTGCCGCCGGGCGTCGCCCCGCCGATGCGCCGGGGTGGGGCGCTGGCGCTGCTCAAGCGGCGGTACCGGAGGGACCTGCTGGGGAAGCTGCGCGCGGCGGCCGCGGCCGCGGTCGCCGGCGACGGCGGCCGCGGCGGGGACCCCCGCGATGTCGCCGGCCGCTTCTGGGGCGGCCTCACGGTCGGGGACGCCCTCGTCGGCGTCGCCGCCGCCTGGCGCTCGCTGCGGAGCGACGGCCTCCGGCGCTGCTGGCGGGCGCTGTGGCCGGACGGGTTCCACGACCCTCCGGCTCCGCCCGCTGCCGCCGCCGCGTCGGAGGCACGGGGGGGCGGAGACGGCGGCGGAGACGTTAGAGATGACTACGGCGGAGACGTTAGAGACGACTACAGCGGAGACGTTATAGACGGTGGCGGAGACGACTACGGCGGAGACGTTAGAGACGACGACGGAGACGTTATAGACGGTGGCGGAGACGTTAGAGACAGTGGCGGAGACGTTAGAGATGACTACGGCGGAGACGTTAGAGATGGCGGGGGAGACGACTACAGCGGAGACGTTAGAGATGACTACGGCGGAGACGTTAGAGATGGCGGGGGAGACGACTACAGCGGAGACGTTAGAGACGACTACGACGGGGGAGACGACTACGGCGGAGACCGGTCCCAGGCTGCGGAGCTCGGGCGTTTGGCCCTCGAATGCCTGGAGCTCCTCCGCGCCGTGCCGGGCTGCGACGGCGCCAGCCTCGAGGACGTCACCGATTGGCTCTCGTCGAGGGACTCGTCGGTCCGCGCGTGGCACGAGCGGACCGACGACGAGGATGAGGATGAGGAGGATGAGGAGGATGAGGATGAGGAGGCGCTGACCGACGGAGGCCACGGAGGCCCCGCGGCGGCGTGGAGGCGCGTGGCGGCCACGAGGGCCTGCGACACTCTCCTCGACTACCTGGACAAGGATCCGCTGCCCGAGTTGGAGCAGAGGAAGCTCCTCCTGCAGATCATGCGGAACGAGATTCAGCAGACGCCAAGCGCCGCCAACGGTGTTTAGCGGGGACGGGGCCCCCGGGGCCTGGCCCCGGTGGATCGTGGGTCAGAGATGGCCGGGCCTGAAACGAGGCTCAAAAGAAAGCTGCCTCTGGTGTGGACCAATCAGTTTCAAAGGCAATGCATCATCATCGTATACTACCAGAGTGTGTGTGTAGTGTGTAGTGTATAGTGTAGTGTAATAGTGTAGTGTAGTGTGTAGTGTATAGTGTAGTGTAATAGTGTATAGTGTAGTGTGTAGTGTATAGTGTGTAGTATATAGTGTAGTGTATAGTGTAGTGATTAGCGTAGTATATAGTGTAGTGTATAGCGTAGTGTATATTGTAGTGTATAGTGTAGTGTATAGTGTAGTGTATAGTGCTAAGCGTAGTGTATAGTAGTGTATAGTGTAGTGTATAGTAGTGTATAGTGTAGTGTACAGTGTAGTAGTGGAGTGTTTTTTGTTTGCATGTTCACCACAAAGTACCGTGTGTGGCTAATGTAGTAACTTAATTCCATGCAACAGGTTTCTGTTTGGTGATTTAACATCATAATATAACTCGTGTTGTATTACCGCCAGAAAGGGTCAAGCCACTGAACACATTGAGGCATTGGCAAGGGTGGGGGGAGGGGAGTCCCCATGATGTACCTGTCATGGCCGTTTGGAAAATAAACATGCTCCAAATCGCTGTAAACCATCGTCATTGCAGCAGTGTGCTGCTGCTGTGGTTTAAAGTTGCACATTTTGATGTGACGTCATATTCCCCCCCCCCTCCTCGTCACACATCGTCACTAATGTCTGACCCTCCCCACCCACCCCTAGGTGCGTGACGTCATTCATGGGCGGCCTCTAAACTTCTTTGTTTCGGTAAAGTCACCACCACGTAGAATGAGAATAAAATAATAAAATAAAACTATAAAATTCTCACGACGTTTCGGCCACAACACAGGTTTGTTCCTTTCACCTGAAGAAGGCCACTTGTGTTGTGGCCGAAACGTCGCGAGAATTTTATTGTGTTATTTTATTATTTTATTCTCATTCTACGTGGTGGTGACTTTACCGAAAGAACCAAAGAAGATGAATCCCTGCAGTCACGAAAGGTTTAAATCGACAATTTACCAGCCCCTAAACTGTAACAAGATACAGCCCACTACGTCATCGTGACAACCCCTTTGTCTAAATGTGACAGTGAACTTTAGCCACGGCTACTCTACATGTGGCCTGTCTCGTTGCATTCGTTGCGATATATCGTAGTATCGCCATATCGCACGATATATCGTGGTATCGTCATATCGTGCGATATATCGTAGTATCGTCACGCACGCTATATCGTAGTATCGTCATATCGCACGATATATCGTAGTATCGTCACGCACGATATATGGTAGTATCGCCACACCGCACGATATATCGTAGTATCGTCATATCGCACGATATATCGTAGTATCGTCACATCGCACGATATATCGTTGTATCGTCATCGCACGATATATCTTAGTATCGTCACATCGCACGATATATTGCAGTATCGTCACATCGCACGATATATCGTAGTATCGTCACAGCTCACGATATATCGTAGTATCTCCACGTACGATATATCGTAGTATCGTCATATCGTACGATATATCGTAATAGCGTCATATCGCATGATATATCGTAGTATCGTCATATCGCACGATATATCGTAGTATCGTCATATCGCACGATATATCGTAGTATCGTCATATCGCACGATATATCGTAGTATCGTCATATCGCACGATATATCGTAGTATCGTCATATCGCACGATATATCGTAGTATCGTCATATCGCACGATATATCGTAGTATCGTCATATCGCACGATATATCGTAGTATCGTCATATCGCACGATATATCGTAGTATCGTCATATCGCACGATATATCGTAGTATCGTCACGCACGATATATCGTAGTATCGTCATATCGCGCGATATATCGTAGTATCGTCACATCTCACGATATATCGTAGTATCGTCATATCGCACGATATATCGTAGTATCGTCATATCGCACGATATATCGTAGTATCGCCACACCGCACGATATATCGTAGTATCGTCATATCGCACGATATATCGTAGTATCGTCATATCGCACGATATATCGTAGTATCGTCATATCGCACGATATATTGTAGTATCGCCACGTACGATATATCGTAGTATCGTCACGTACAATATATCGTAGTATCGTCACATCGTACGATATATCGTAGTATCGTCACATCGCACGTTATATCGTAGTATCGTCACATCTCACGATATATCGTAGTATCGCCACTTACGATATATCATAGTATCGTCATATCGCACGATATATCGTAGTATCGTCACATCTCACGATATATCGTAATATCGCACGATATATCGTAGTATCGCCATATTGTACGATATATCGCAATATCGTAATATCGCACGATATATCGTAATATCGTCATATCGCACGATATATCGTAGTATCGTCATATCGCACGATATAGCGTAGTATCGTCACATCTCACGATATATCGTAATAGCGTAATATCGCACGATATATCGTAGTATCGCCATATTGTACGATATATCGTAATATCGTCATATCGCACGATATATCGTAGTATCGTCATATCGTGCGATATATCGTAGTATCGTAATATCGCACGAAATATCGTAATATCGTCATATCGTGCGATATATCGTAGTATCGTCACGTTTGATATATCGCAGTATCGTCACATCTCACGATATATCGTAGTATCGTCATATCGTGCGATATATCGTAGTATCGTCACATCTCACGATATATCGTAGTATCGTCATATCGTGCGATATATCGCAGCGTCGTTATAATCGTGCTATGTATCTCGGCATCGGGTACGATCCCGCGATATATCGGAGTATCGTCATATCGCGCACATGTATCGTACGATACATATCGTGGTATCGTACGATACATATCGTGGTATCGTACTAACATATCGTGGTATCGTACGATACATATCGTGGTATCGTACGATACATATCGTGGTATCGTACGATACATATCGTGGTATCGTACGATATATATCGTGGTATCGTACGACATATATCGTGGTATCGTACGATATATATCGTGATATCGTACGATACATAACGTAGTATCGTACGATATATATCGTGTATCGTACGATATATATCGTAGTATCGTACGATATATATCGTGGTATCGTAC